GAGACGCATTAGGGAAACAAAACAAAGAGTCAAGTGAAGTAAAGATGGGCAAGTGCGAGCGCGGGATGAAAGCGGAGGTAAAGCCTCCCCTGCTGCTTTCAAGCTTAAAATAGGTGTAATTCAAGCGCTGCCCGAGAGATAACGTGAGAATGGGCCGCTGTGAGATACGCCACGTCTTTGTGTGCCCGACAGTGTTCTGTTCTCCTGTTTGTTGGTTTTGTAAGGTGGCCCAAAAGCTAATGTACGTCTGACGAGATGAGGGTGAGCAAAACTATTACTAGTTGTGGGTTGCTTGAATGTCAAATATATGATTCACGTTTTTTCAGGTTCACATTTGTAAAGAGGTGTTACCTGCAGATGCATTAAAAAATGGCTAGACGTAGCGCAACGAAATAGATTTTCTCCAAAACTAGTTGAAGTCTTATTTTTAACGCAATCTTAAAAACACGAAGTTTAGAAACGCAAAAATAGTGCAAAACGTTGTAATTATGCATTTTAGAAAGCAAATAAACATTAAATTGAGCTAGAACCATTTGCATTGCAAAAAATTTGATAAACCGTCAAAAATGCCACAATTTGGCTATTTTTTGCATTTGTAAACTTGCGTTTCACCTCATATTCTTAAAAAAGAGATCCCAAAATGAGTCTATAATTGTCATACAGTAACTCCTAACTAAGGACTCATTTGGGTCTCTTTTTTTCATCTCACCAAAAAAGCTATAAAATTGAAGTCGATCGATTATTTGATCAGAAATATTTGAGTTCATATTGAGATCTCTGACAAATCTGAGGACAGTTTGAGACTTTGTCGAGATCTCTTCAGGAACTGATGAGTAAAAGCTCAACCATGTGTTGTTTTTTTATGCTCAATGTAGTCTAGGACAAACAATTGAGACATTAACTAGATCACATTTGTGTTTATTTATGATGTGCTGCCTATGACTATAGGATATATAATTTCTCACTATAAATCCATCTTTGTTTTTGTACCGCGATGCCCCCACAATTGCTCTGCGTGTCTGTGTTTGTGTCTTCAGTGTGATTCAGATGTTTACTAGGCAGTGCACATCGTCCCAGAGCTGTAATCACTCCATCCCCCCTCAAACCCCTGGCCACCGAAACCCTGCACACGGCGCCGTCTGATTGGCTGCGATGTCGTCCGCTGTACTCTCACAGGCTCGGATCGCTAATTACTGTCTCGTCAGGTTGTCGTACAGCACAGCCGGCTGAACGGGGGACATTTTGTTGTTATTCTTTTGTCATTTTCAGTGTTGGAGAAAGTAGTTTTTACTTTTAAGTAGAAAGTAGTATTACTTTTAGTTGAAAGTAATTTTGGAAGGTTTGCTGTGAAGCGAAAGATGATATGCTACTATTTTGGAGAAAAAAACGTTAGCATTTAGATGTTAAAAGTTA